GACATTCAGTTCTCGCACCTGCAAGTTATCTTTCCCACAGCCCCACAGCGTCCATACACTCCACTCAATGGGGAGGTGAGGTCACATCACTTTGTGAAGGGCGATGGAGGGTAATATTAAAGAAATAAACAAACTGACAACTGCTTCAGACATTTCTAATGCAAAAAATGTTTTTGGTCATGTATTCAATGTGCACAAAAATAAACAATAAAAGTTCTGTAAATATTTTATGTTCTACATGATCACGACTTTTTTACCACCATGAAATTGGCAATCCTGTATTATGCTGTGTATTACACAACCAACTGTAAATTCTTTATAATAGTGTTTTGACCTGTGGTGATCATAACTTTTGTCTCATTATGTAGTGTGACTATATTTAAAAAACCCGATGAATGTGCGTTGAAGCATGTTGCTATCATATTATCAATAATGTATAATCAAATGTGTACGTGGAGAATAAAATTGTTATAAAATTATGATTCTGTATGTTGTGTTCTGCCTCAAAAATTCACATGGGGACCATATGGAATAAACCAATGTGAGCTTCATACTAGGTGAACACAATATATCATCCAATACAAGTGCACAAAGCAAATTCTGAGAGGTTGTTTTTTGACTCTATTTCTAGCTAAGCCACGTCTGGTTCGATCGCATCAGCATCTCCCCGAATGTGCCAGAACACACAGAAACCCTAGAGACCACAGGAAAGGATGTCACTGACTTCATTCGCCAAGAAGTAGTCAAGACTGGCATCCCTGAAAGTCGCATTATAGTTGGTAAGATAACCTAACTCCAAAAGTTCAGTTCTTTCTCCACTAAGAGTCAGTAACTGAAGTGATTGTACAACAGGTGGATTCTCAATGGGTGGAGCGTTAGCAATGCACATCGGCTTCCGACTGATGTCAAAGGTGGCAGGAGTATTTGCTCTTTCTTCTTTTCTTAGTCACACTTCATCCATATACCATGTGAGTAAACACTGCAGATTTAAGCACGCTATAGTCAAGGGATTGTCTGAACACTAAAACTAATTACACTTAATAATATGGTTCAGAATTTGAGTGAATGTAATTTCCCCCTCCTGTGGATGACATGGCTGTTGCAGAGTCTCAAAAGCATGCAGCGAGAGGACATAAAAACATTTCCACCTCTTTTCATGTGTCATGGTGACAGAGACAGTCTGGTCCCCCATGAATGGGGCAAGAATACATTTCAAACACTCAAACAATTGGGAGTGGATGGAGAATTCCACACCATTCCAAATGCACTCCATGAAATGAAAGAGAAGGAACTGTTGCAGTTGTACGAGTGGATCAACCGGTGCCTCCCACCCATGTGACTGCACTTAAACTAAAATATATTTTGTGACATTCAGGTCTTAAAATAAACAAATCTGTTGCTTTGTACAATTGATGCAAGAAAATGATACAATTTTTTTACCCCCAGAACAGGCTTTACCTAATTTCTTCCCGACTTCCCACTCACTACCATCCTCTTTTTTCCCATTGGACAACACATCACCAGTGCAAGGGAAAAGCAGTGTAAGTTCAAAAACTACAATTGAAATGTTATTGCTGCATTTGGGTCTATATTTCTTATTTATCAAAACTAGCATTTCAGCCTGATGTATAAATCAAACTTTTATAACCATATTTGTATACATTTTTGAAAACTATAAACCTGACATGAGGATTTTCTGAAAATTATTTCTTGCATTTTTAGGACACAAACCCCTTTATCCTGGCAGTATTAAAAATACTTCTGTAGTTGATGTAGAACCATTAAATATATTCAACACTTACCAGCAGACATCCCCCAGGTTTGTAGTCCTAGCTCAACCAGGCTATCTTTATTCACCTGCAACACAGGCCTACAGAAAGAGACCAATGGTTTGGACGTAAAACCACATAATTGGATATGAAGTGAAAATATCACTGGAAATGAGAAAGGATAAGGGCATGGGAGTCTGGTATGAGGTCACATCCTCTTAGAGTTAAAGCAATGAGGAGGTAAGGAAAAGTGTTTCACAATTCCTGAAGATAAATGAGAAGAATGGTGAGACTACAACATATTTTGGATTGGAAATGAGGGAGGTTAAGACTCCAACAGAAAGCAACAGCTCACTCAGATGGTATGTCAAACAAAACAGAACAAATTGCTTCCGTCTAACCGACATTCATCCTGATCAATCCATGGGTTACATAAAACATCAATATGTGGTAAGAAGATATTTATTAGTGAAGTCCACATACATAATGAACTGGATCTGGAACTGTCTTTACCATAGTACATCTTTGATATGACTGTACTTACAGTGTGGTGTTCTCAGGTTCAGAAATGCTTCTGGTCTTTCTCCCACATTTCCTCCAAGATAATGTCAATGTCGGACAACTGGAAACGGTCAATCCAGGACTGAATGAGCCCCTCGTGTGTGGCCTCATATGTCTTGAGGGTCACTTCATTGCCTAGAACAAAGCAAACATAGAGATTGACAGTAAACCTAAGACAGCCCATCGCACCTTTATGGCCATACAACAAACATCAAGCCAACAAACACTTTACTTCTGAAAGATATATATAAAATCTCCATGTAGTTTCCTCAACCTTATTGTTGAAAACTGATCTGGCTGTAATCAAACCAGAGATCCCAGCCTACTACAACATTTCATAATTTCTTTAATATTTCTGTGTTGACAGTGAATCTAAGTACTCCACTGATAATAATACTGCAGTTTCTTTTAACATACACCCATAAATGTCATGTCTCATTTGGCCACAATATCTCTCGCATTTCCCATTCTCAGACTGTTTTCAGGGCAAGATATATGGGCTCTCATTTAGTGAGCTACAAAAAACAAAATTCATTCTCTCACACGTCACTATCTCAATTCTATGAAAACTTTATATATAAAAACATATCATAGATTCTGCACTTCCTATGGCAGGAAAATGCAACTTTGACAGCTGCAAATCACTTAATGTAATGGAACAAGCTTCCTGTTGCTGACTCATACCCTGGCCAAGGATGGTGTTGCCCTGCACAAACATCTTGCGGGGTTGCCTGTGTGCCAACACGATGTCCCGCCACTTGCCCCATGGGTAGGATCCATCATCTGGCACTTCTGCATACTTGTTATACAAAGCTTGTGCAGCTGCTATATCCCCAGTCGACTTGTACACCTTTATTGGACAAAATTTGTAACCTGAACATAATATTATTATTCTCAGAGCATCAACTGTGGGACTAGGCAATCCTTAAGAATCTTCAATTACCTTTATGAACAAATATATATTTCATGCAAGCATGTGAACAGCCTTCCTTCACCTCCATTCACAATGACAAGGACCAGAAAACAATTTAACAGAATGCAGACATTTGCATATGGTAAAATACACCATAAATCAAAATGCAAAAGCCATCCTGTTACACACCATGTAGGCACTTAAGGGAAGAGTACTCAAATAAGAACCACAGATATCAACAAGATTTATATATACCTGTAACTTCAGTAAGAAGTTGCTGATGGCCATCTTTCCCACAGAAGCAATCTTGCTTCTGTCAACCTTCATCAAGAGGTCCTTCCCCTTTACAGTTTCGGTGACTGTCACAAGATCACCTCCTGCTTCCAACAGCACACGCAGAATCACGTAGCGTGCCTGTGAGTGTGCCTGCCACAATCATATGATGGAACACTGTCAAGTGGACTATGCATCTTCACCACATAACACCTGTCAAGTGTTAGAGAGCTTCCTCCTTTTTGAATCACAATGAAATGGTGAGATTTTTCCAGTAATCCTGATGATTCTGCCATCAGTCCCTATCCTAAGCTCGAGATGAAAACAATCTACACACTCAAACTCTTTCCTTAACAGTGATTTTCATGTCATTCTGCCATCTATGCCTGGGTCTTACAAGTTGTTCTTCCATTCAGGTTTTAAAAGCAAAGTTCTGTGTGCATTTCTCATTCCCCACGTATTTTATCCTTCTTGATCTGATCACCCTAACAGTATTTGCAGAGTACAAATCATGGTGCTCATCATGCAACTTTCTCCAGTCACTTCATCCGTCTTAGATTCAAATATTCTCCTATGCATTCTGTTCTCAGACACCCTCAGTTTTTGTTCTCCTTTAATGCAACAGACCAGGTTTCACACCCACACAGAATGCAAAATTATAGTTTTGTATATTTAAATATTTTAGTTATTAGATAACAGACAGCAGAAAGATTCTGAACTGCAAGGTAGCAAATATTCCCCAAATTTAGTCTTCTCTTAAATTTCCTCACAAATGAAATTCTGATTTGTTAGGGCAATTCCAAAATATTTGAACTCTGCCACGTATTTAGAGGAAACGCCATTATCCGACTGATGAGTTTACCTGCAGCCAAGTATTGGTGGAAGGCTGGTACATCTCCAGGCATCTGCCAACCCCCTGGTACAGAAGGTTCAGCCAATTCACATATGCAACGTCCTCAGCTTCACGCCCCTCAAAGCCAAAGATCCTGCAGCACAGCAAACTCGACACAATGTGACTTTGGAGCAGACATGAAATCTTGATGATGTATTAGTCAAGATCTACATGGAAAATTGGCCAAATAAAGGATACAATGGTAAGGACATGGATAACATTTGGTACGGATGTTATGCCATTGGGGTCTACCCTATAATTGTACTTTTCAACTTCCTGTGATACGTAACACCAACATGATCGAAAAACAAACTCGAGAGGTGGGATCAACATTACTGCCACGAGCAGTGGGGCCATACAATGATGTATGGTTACAGTTTCTGAAAAAATACAAAACTTTGGTATGGTAGTTCTTTTTTACAATGTAAAATGACAACATGGCAGCTGCATGAAAGAAAGATATGGTATATTTTTTATTTCAGTTAGGAGCATTCAAAATTCGCAAGTGTGTGTACCAGTACAGATTGTCCGTTCCCAGTCTTGTTCTTTGTTGTTCTTATCATCTTTCAGTCTGTCTCTTGTCCAGCAAGCATACATGCAGTTCCCGGCGCCTTTCTCTGTCTCTCTCGTACACAGAGCCTCTTCACCGGCAGAGAACTTGACACTTTACTCGCTGCTGTACATCTGTTGTACTCAGCCAAGTAGCTGCTATTTTACAGTTCAAGCAATTGTTCAACGGAGTTTTCCAGTGTTCTACCCCACCCCTCGATACATTTCCAGATGCTTCCGCCACAAGACAGAAGGGTGCCTGAGAAAAGCCCAGATCCTAAACAGTATGCACAGCAGTACAGAGTTAGAGATGGGGGGGGGGCACAACTGATATGAGAATGGAGATTGAGCTACATTAATGTGTGCTTGGAACATTAGAGCTATACACCCCTCCAACCAGATACTGGTAAAATAATCTTTAGTATAAAAGGTAAAGTCTCATTCATTATGATGATGATGATGAAAAAGTTTAATTCATTATAACAATAACAGCTGCAGAAAAACATAAAAATTTCTCAGTTATTACAGTTACAAACATTTCTGTGCATAACAGTACAAAAACCAAGTTTAACCCACCTTAAAACATCCTTGTTCAAGCTTAAAAACAAGCCCACACACTCGGCTCGACACTCCTCATATGATGAGCCCATTGTTGTGAACTTTGAGTCATATGTGTCTCCATCTTCATACCACGATTTGATCTATAAAGATAAATATAAATGGTAAAGCATCATACACCCCACATTCATGAATTTAACTCTCTTTAACTGTGTGAACCAATTTTGAGGCCTGTTTGAATAATAAAAAGGTAGCCATGAAACTGATATCTGCAGGCCACTCACCAGCTCACCATCCAAGGGGTTAACGAGTGTCACATGATCAAAGTTGTACTGGCCATCCTTGTGTTTGCACAGCATCTTGCCACTGCCATGGCCCAGCAGTTCATGCAGGCCAACTTGTACCTCAAATGCCTGCACTCTGTATTTCATCAGCAAGACCTTATCCTCTTCTGATAGGAATGGCATTACCGTCTGCTTGCAGCTGGCTGGTATCACATTGCCCAATGACACGTTTTTGAAGCCCTCATACTGACAGATCTCAGTATCTGCACAGAAAGATGGAAGTTCACTATCATTCCCAGGAAGAAATGTGAAATGTAGATGAATCACGTGACCTAACTACCTAAGCAAGAAAACTAATAGGATCTTGCAAATAGAATCAAACATAACTAGAAAGTTGTAATCCTTAGTGTAATACACTTGCATTCTTTACAAATTCTTAATTATTAATAAAGGATTATGTCAGTTATCTCACTTAGACAATATGTATTTTCTGAAAATCAATAACCATACATCATTGTATATTCCTGTTGCAAGTGGTGCTAGTGTCAATCCCACCGCACAAGTTTATTCGTGCACCATGTTGGTATTACTGATAGTAGGAAATTGTTAAGTATGGCTTTAGAGTAATCCCATATGGCATAACATCCATACCAAATTCCATCCAAATTTGTCCAGCAGTTGTCGAGTTGAACCACGTGGAAAGACATACAGACACGGCCGGCCTGATACGCGTTAATTTCACGCACATCACGCAAAGAACACATAATATTAACATACCATTTAACTGTTAACAGATTTATTCTGTTTTCAGCCTGGAATTGACAGCCATAAGAACTAAGCAGTTGCACAACAAGTTCAAATCAGCACATTCAGTCCCTACTACATTCAACTCTGTGTTGGCAACTCAGGAAAATGCATGTGAAATCTGAATTTGACCGCCAGTACTTGGTGCACTAAATTTCTGTCTCATCTCTTGAACTCACAATTGGGAATGTTGATGCCTGCAGGAATACCACTTCCAGCAAAAGTCAGGACTTCGAGCGATGTAAAATCTGGGCGCAGGAACTTGTCTTTCTCAAAGCCTTTGGGCCAGGGAAGCTCTGTCAACAGCACCTCAGCCTGTTGTACCAGAATGGCAAACTTTGTAGACATCTCCTTGTTCACAAAAGCCACAAAACCCTCAAACTCACCACGCATGCCTGCTGGGTCACGGTATGTCTCGATGAAGCCTATGTACCTGCAGGCACAAAGATGCTGTGAGAAGTCACACGAAACAGTCAGCAATCCTGATCCATGCTCGGGATGTCGTGTATTCAAGTCTTGGCCTAGAAACTGGCTGTCCTGACTGAGGTATCCCACAGTTTTCCTCAGTAACCCAGTCAAATGATGAGCAAGTACAGTAAATGGGATCACCACTTCCTCCCACTTAGTTTTCAGTTTTTTATTTACCAATCATTCATTCATAAACTGAGCTACTAAAAAGTGTCATTACATCGACCAAGAAACATCAACATCAAAAGATAGCTCACCGATTTTAATAATACCATGCTGTGATAAATAACTAATAATAACACGTAAGTCAGGGGATAATTCCTGACAGCAAAAAAACAGGCTGTGTAAAGACAAAAGCTGCAGGATTCTGTGGAAGCAGAAGTCGGTGCTGAAAATTTTAAAGAGCATGGTTTTCAGAAAGGAAATGCAACGATAGCGAAATGTCTTTAACGAAATGCAGAGATATTGTAGCCGCTACAGTGGTGCACCTAAGAAAGACACACTCAATAAGACAAGCTGGTACAACCCAGATATACCGTTAGATAAGAATCATATGCGACTGAGTACATTTCAGTCTGTCTTAATGATATTCCTTAGTAGCTCCTATAAAATGACAGAAATTTTCTGCAGAGTATTTCCAACAGTAAACATAACATACAATGAACGCTCAGGTATTTGTAATGTGTTAAAAATGTTTATAACAATTTCTGGATCATTAATACAACTTTATAGTCACCAAGCACCTGTAATAAATTATTTTACATTCAATGTTGCAAATGCTTCAACAAACTAGCAGACGTGTACCTAAACATAGAAGTTTGTTCAAACAAATAATTGCTATTTTATACACTGCTGATGGCTTTCTTAAACCACGGAAAGTGCAGGGGTTTTGTTTGTGAGTTTCTCTTCTTATATTGCCATCGAATAATCCTGAGGTAAAAGATCAAGAAATGGTGATGGCAAACACATCGAGCTGTGTTTTCAGAATTTCCATCCTTCTGATGTACCTTCATGGTTTATGTAATTTCTTGGCATGAAGAGCTGCATCCACAAGTGATATAATTTTACGCAATTTGTCGCTCAACTGCCTCAAACACCCAAACCTTCAGTACAAATACACTGTACACTAATCTCTACTCTAACATAAATTCCAATAAAATACACTAGCTTCTAGAAACATATTCACATACGAAATGTCAAACCTTTGAACATTAAAGGACCATTAAAAATGATGCAGAATATGTAAGGATTTTTTGGGTGGTGTCAGTAATATGGGGGTCCTGAAATTTTATATGGATAGCTCTTAAAAATATGCAACTTTTGCATGGGTAATCTTTCATAAAATGACATAACATGTGTCAGTGTGTGCCTCATTACATGGGCAGAAGCACTTAAAGGGAATCAGATGTCATAGGATACATAAGTACATGAACTGTTTGAAATGCTATGTAACTGAAGCATCACTCTTACAAAAAATCAACTCACGTCTCCACCACAGGACCCTTGTCCTTGACCCACAAGCGGGAGCCATCCTTGTGGTCCTGCAGAGTACCACGTGTGAAGCTGTGAACGTAGTGCTCCAACATTCTTTTCTCTATGTCATTTGCAGCATAATCCTGAAACATACATTTACATGCAGTCCTCAAAAATACTGGTCTCCCCTCAGACTCATTTTTGTGGAAACTGCTAAATAAATCATGGAACCATCAACATTCATTATTTATTTACCTTTATGCTATAACCATTACAAGTGGCCATGTGGGGATACATGAAACAGCCACACAACTTTTATAGATTTTTGTGGTTTCAAACCATGAAATTAGGTGCAAACAACTTTGAACAAACCAACCCCAAGGAACAGGAGTCCTTGGGAAGCTAAAAAGAGATTCTCCAACTTCTTACAGAACCTTCATCATGTTTACTGAAGCTTGCCACTGGACCCTATCCTGGATTAGAAGAATCTAGCCCACATCAAAGCCAACTTCCACTTTAATATCATATTCCCATCCACACCTAGCTCTCCCAAGTGGTTTCTTCCCTTCAAGTTAGCCAACTAATTTTTTTTTAAATTTTTCATCTCTCCTATGTACGCTATGTGCTCCAGTCATCTTATACTCCTTGACTTCATCGCCTTAATAACGATTAATCAACAGCACAAATTATGTCCGTGACCTGTACAAAGCAGCAACAATGCTAGGAGACAAATCATGAAGCACCTTATTTTATAATCCCATCTTCTGTTACTTCCTCCCCTTCAAGCGCAAAACTACAGGCACACTTATATGAGATTTGAGGCTCTCAATAGCGGTAAAGATTTCGGAATGGGTCTACTGGGTAGACTGTGTAGATGGATACAAATATTTTGGGAGGTTAGGTTAGATTAGGAACATACTGATTCCATCTTCACACCAGAAGAAGGTGGTGTTGCTACCAAGAAACCGAGTATAGAGTGCACTAATATTTCTATCTCTGTCTTCTTTGGCTTTTCGGTAGAAAGATGGATGAGAAACTCTCTCACCTTTGCTTTCGCCAAATTCTGAACGACACGCTCCAGTAGCTTCGAGTAGTCCCCCCGTGTGATTCGGAACTTACATCTCATGTAGTCAATATCATCTTGTGTGACGTCTGAGTCGTGCCCCGTCTCAACTGATGCAAGTCGTATCTATAAAGACACAATGCAAGATTTCAAGCATCAACATGTTTTGGCAATTATTTTTACATTCCACCTAAAACTTAAATTTACAATATTTTGTATAACATACTGACCACACAAAACATTAACATATGACATAAACCACACAGCCTTTAAAATCTATAACTTTCATTAAACAGTTTCTGAAATGCTTCGTCAACACCAAAGGTGTGGTATCTATACTATTGATTAACTCTGTCAGTAAAACAGATTTCTGTCTACAACTTAACATCTAGCCAGTAACACAAATTGAATACCTCTGTACATCAGTCACAACGCCAGCAATGCCACAATATTCTGAATTTGATGAACGTCCCAAGAGCAGGCTATGACCAGATTCTAATTCTACTGTAAACAAGGTTTTAAAACAAGCCTGAATTGTGATGATGACAGTTCTAGAGTGACGATGAATTTGTTCCCACCACAGAACAAGCTGACTGGAGATTCACCTCATACGTGGGAGTCCCATTTTCCACAGTCTTGAACACTCGACTGTTGTGGGCCTCCATGTTCCTGTGTTTGAGCAGCTGAGCCACCAGATTGGCATCTTCCATGGTGCAGTTACTGGAAAAGTATGTTGTTATGCCCTGCAACATCATTTGATAGTGACATACGCTGGGCAGTGTTTCCTGAATGCAATCCACAAAATACTTCACAGCTAACATAAATTCTTGTTCCCTCATCACCAAATCTTATTTTTTAAATGTGAGAGAGAGTTTCATGTACAATTCAAACTACGAGGGGTGTATACAAATGATTTAGACTAACCTGAATTATGTGATCCTTGATGGTGGTGGCTCCTAGGTTACACTAGAGAGATGGTAACGGTGCATCGACCTCCAGGGAGAATATGTGGAACGGGCCGAAGTGTAACCTGGGAGCCACCACCATCAAGGATCACATAATTAAAGTTAGTCTAAATCATTTGTATACGCCCCTCGTATTATAAAGATTTCACATGATTATATTATTTTTATTTAGTGTTCTGTCTGACGACAGGTCCATATGAACAGGATCCTTCCATCCTTTTCTCGGACTGGGACCTGTTCATATACGTTCTTGGCAGATGATCCAGAAGTGGTTTGCCATTGCAGTGGGAACTTGGCAGCTACATCATGACAATGCACCCGCCCATTCTTTGCATCTAATTCAGGATTTCTTGGCCAAACACAACATTACTCTGGTTCGTCAGGCTCCCTACTCTCCCGACATGGCTCCTTGTGATTTTTGGCTGTTCCCCAAGCTGAAAATGCCGCTGAAAGGGACCCAATTCGCGGTAAATGAAAATCCGACAGGCGTTCACTACAGTCACTCACTCACAGGCTGACTGCCAGCGACTGACGCTCTGTGCTGGCGGGAAAAAATTCACGAATGCGCATGAAGGTCCCCTACAACCTTCCACCAGAGGTCCGATACTTTTTGAACAGACCTCCTATCTTAGTCTCACTACTGACATCTTAATATGATCCAGGAGAATTCCCATCAATAGTGAGTGATTAGGTATGTGGGCTATTATATTAAAGACAAACAAGCTTCCAAAATTTTACTTGTTATTTCATTATAATCTAATGAGTGTTTTCAATTGAAGGAATGTATTTTCCTTTTTATCGCAGTTGCAGTGGATGTAAAAGTGGAGAGATTGAATGAGTGACTGGACCTTAAGTTATTTAATGATGGTACTTATTCAAATGCGCCTATCTTTACAGAACTGGTAACATAAATTAAATACACATCTCAGTTGCCTCCACAGCACCAGGTGGTTCACCAAAATAATAAGGCAGTAAGTAGCCTCATGGGCATTGTCACACCTTGTCACGAAACCCAAGACTCTTCACACCCTCTTGCAACAGATAGATGGCTTCCTTGCATTGGTCCCATAAAGACTGCATGACCTTCGGCTCTCTGTGGTATGCCTTACTGCACTTGATGACAGCCTCAAACTTGGAAGATGGTAGATTTGGGACAAACTTGGTGTCACCAAAATGCTTGTAGTTGCCAGAATTGGTGAAGATTCCTGATGTGTACACCAGGAGGGCCTGCAGCAGATGAAGGCACAATATGATTTTCATAACAATGTAGAGCACAACACAAATCAAGCAGCACTTAGGAAAAAAATCTTACAAACAGTAAACAACCACCCAAACTTCCTTGCACAATCATGTGTTATATCATCAGCTCCACAGTACAGCTGGGACCACTTATCTAACTAACCCAGTAGCTGAATAGCTATCCAGTCCCAACATGGCATCCAACGAGAGAAACTTGAGCACCCGAAGCCATGACAACAGGATGACGTCCACAAGTAAGTTTTGATCTATTGAAGGATGTCCCTTTCCTCATGCTTCGTCAATCTCTATGATAACCATCCTCTGCTCACAGTTGACAGCTTTATTGAAATCGGTCACTATTATAAGAATGAGCCAAAAACATCACTCCTCTAATCAGACACAAACATCTACAAATTATAGCGCACACTGGCAGTGAAAGGGTGTCTTAAGTCTCATTCAACTAAAGAGTATCAAGAATAAATGACAGGGGAACATCACATAATGAAATACTACCTACCCCTCGTTCAATGTTATTACAATAATGGACAATGTGCCTTATCACACTGTAAAAGTAGAAAAGTTACCTAAAACAATACAATCTTCTTGGGCAACAAGCAGCGTAAAAGTGGATTCACAGTTCATTTTGACGTGAATTGTTGCCCACGAAGATTTTATTACATTTAGTCACCACGAAAGCCTCGAGTCTTATATAACATAAAACACCATGGGGCCAAAAACAGCATTTTGGACTGGCTCAAGTCACAAGATGTCCTCCTAGACAGCAAACAACTGGTGAAGGGGATGACGCTCAGCCCACTTAGCCTAGTTTATAAATACCGAAGTATTGATCATAAAAGTGTAGCTGATAAAATGGCGAAGGCACAAAATAAGGCAGTACTCCATTTGACTGCAATCATGAGCCAAACTCCAGATGGCTAATATGGCCCAAGGTCAAACGCACATGACAACACAGGAGAAAAACTTTTACTTGTTGCCCGAGAGTCTTTCGTAAAAAAACTTTACAAGTATAATTAATGTTAAAAACCTCTTAAAAGACTCGATAGATGGAAAATGGGCAAACTGCAATCACCATAAAAAAGAAGAAAATAAAGCATAGCTCCTGCTCCTTCTTAACCTCGGCACTAGGCAGGGGTGAGTGGTCAGTGTCACGCCCTGGCTGCACTTTACCCCCAGGAAAGGACCCTGGAACCCATTGGACAGGAGGCCGGGTGGGACCCAGAGCCGGTCTGGACGCAGAGGATATAGGAAAAATCCTCTGCCCCTGCCGGGGACCAAACAAGTCCAGTCTACAGTCAGTCGCTATAGTGACTGAGCTACCCAAGCTCTAAAATAATACCGTACTTCATAAAACATGAAGAAAATATCAATGCACATGGGTTGACACATTGTGAATTATGCTTTTAACTTATTTTGCCTGTAAAGACTCAAAACTCATATTCTTGGTACCACTGAAGAAGTCAGCCACATTAACCAGTCGTCAATGCCAGGCAGTGAATATGCATCATTTAAGGAGGATCCTCACCACACTTAGTATAACAGAAAAAAAAAATCACCAGGTTCCAGCATATCATCACTTACCTGAAACTCATCAACTGTAACTACCTGGTCCTGAAGTAAAGACTTCTTCAGCTCAGAAATGGGCTGTGCAGAAAAGAGTTTGCGCAGCAACACAAACACAAGTGGAGATTCTGGAGAGGTCTGAAACATAAAGAATTTGTTAACTGGTGGCCACCTGCAAGTCAAGCTGACATACTACTTTTCATACTGTGACACCCACCTGAACAAGAACAATAAGGCCACCATTCCACGAAGCCTGACTCAAGTAATGTGCATACAACTTCTCTTTGGCAGTCAGGCCTTTGAATGCTTCTACACAGTCCAGTTCCACAACGGGCTGATCATTTGGGAGAACGAAGTGTTCTGAATCACTCATAGTGCTGAAAACAATTAGAACACACTTAATAATTTACAGAGTTGCCATTCCGAAATTACGAGAAAAACAAACTGGAACTAATATCTCACAAATCTGACACACACTTGTCTGGAAGAGACAGTGTCCCAAAATTGCATGCCAGAAAGTAGACAGTCTACTGTATGCTTAAAAAAGAAAAGCTATGGGGCGTATGTGGCCAAAGAGCACTGCCATCAAATGTACTTGATATCCTAAAGAACTGTACAGGGTCCTTTTGTGCAACCACCAAGACTTACTGGCTTGAGTTAGTTTAACTTTTTCGTTAATGACTGCCCACTGTCTTGTAGTATGTACAACTCACAACCAGGAGAGGCATGTGAGTTCTGCATGATGAGGTACTAGTACTTCCACATTTTATTAGTGCTGTAGCACATCCTTTAACATCAACATGTAAGAATTTTTGAGTTGACACAGTGTCTACTACACTTACTGCACCTTTCCACAACTGCAATCCAAATGCAACTCAATACACTCACCTTACATATTAAAGTAAGGTGATCAACTGTTGTTAGTGAAGCTAGAATGGTTTGTGTTACTAGTAACACTGTACTCCAAGAACTAATCCTCATTCTTTGAAATATCACTTCAGTCATGTGAATCAACCCATTCATTTTCAGGGTTATTCCATTAAACTTGCAATAATAAAAAAATTCAAACACTCTGATATCCACAATATATGTATAAGTAGCAGATATAACCTTCATGTGCCAAATACTAGCCTCAATAAATATCAAAAAGGAGTTATTCAACAATAATTCATCTGCTATCAAAAGTCTAAATAATGATATAAGAAACTTTAAGCCAACAATAAATGAGTACCTGTTATTGTACTCCTACTACTCTGTATAAGATTTTACCTTAACTAAAAATTAGTAACTATTATAAATACTTGAATGCAATAATGGTGATTCTTCTTTGTATAATTATTTTTGCTGTAATACTATACTAAACTATAAATAACTATCACAAATATGAATTTAGAATTACATTAGGAACAAGTATTCTGACTGAATTATGACATGTTCTATATCCTTGACTTTGGCCTATGAAGGATATATGGAATTCAAAGGATTGCCCACCAACAAAGATGGAGGAGCAACTCTATATGTAAACTAAGTTTTGTATTTCTATTTAAAATTCTGAGGTTTATGTACATTAATTTGTAAAATTATTTTTCATTCTTTCATTGCAGAATCTGATGTTTACGTACATTTATATGTAAAATACGTTCTTGTACTTGTGTCAAAAGTTCTGAAGTGCATGTATATTGTATGAAATGACATGTTCTACATCCTTTGGTTTGGTCCTAAGAAGGATCTATGGAATGTAAATAAACTCTACTCTACTCTGCTTATAGGTAGTACAACTCAAGAATGCATCACAATGTGGTGATAATGGACTGAGTGGTTATTTCTACAGAGATTCAAGTATAATGAAAATTAGCATTAAATAACTTGGTAGATCCGTCTTTCTCAAGAGCTGGTCACTCAGTTGGTGAAGAAGTTGATCATCTTGCATGAAACCCAAAGTTCACTACAGGTTTAATATATGTGCATGCCATGCAAATACATAATAATGTATATTTATTATTTAAAATTATTAATACTAGATATTCATATTGTCATTAAACCACCTGCTGCAATAAAAATATTGGAAATGAACTTATGAACAGATATTAATTACATAATCAATAATTACCTTCACATATTAGAACTTACCGTCTTATACTTGCTCACACTTTGGAAAAAATAATTGGCAATGTTATCTTCTTCACCAAAAGGCAATGGTTCGTCAAAGTTCGTGAGATACCGGTGCTTATGGCATGAAAATATGAGCTCATGAAGCCTCCTACTTTGTGAAAACTGGAAATTGACACAGTGACTGCCAAAGTAGGGAGTGTAAAATCGCAGCGTAGCTGACATCAAAGTCATATATAATTACAATACACAACCAATATATCAAAAGCTTTCAAAACACGATCATCACCTTTAATAATATAAAAGAACACTTCTTCAACGAGCCTTTGAAATAAGCTACACCTGACTGAAATTTCTTGCAATCGGGCGTTTTATTTAAAACGTCAGATTCCAAATTCCAAGCTTTCCACGGGCAGAGTGCACATAAGTAATGTACCTAGTCAAAATTTGCGAACTATGGCCAAAGGTGCACATTCTTTTATTCCTAATCGTAAATATCTAAAATGGAATGGCTTAGCATTTTAATCAGAATGTTGAATAACGTACAAGCCTGAAACATGATGTGTATGGAAATTGAGACATCCCAGACAACGACCGAAACACACTACACGTTATCGGCAAGAATTAGATTATTTACACTGCCTTAACGATCACCCTTAAAGCCGGGAGTATACATTCTCCAAACTCGAAAACCATTCCACACTTCAAAACACCTCGTGAGCGTTCTCCATTTGCAACGAACACAGGTAATACCAACAAATACGACTTCAAAAAATCCTTGATTCAAAAGGAACATATATTCAACCCAAAAAAATTATTGAAATCAATTTCTACTTAATATTACTATGCAAGATTCTACATTCACAAAGTTAAACATGCAGGCTCATTCCAAACTTTCGTCCTCACAACTTTGATAAAACTATTAAGATTTAATGTACGTTACCTGTGTGTACGACCACAGATGATAATATATCACTGCCACACAACAAGTTGCTATAAAATAGATCACAGACGAAAAAGTAGATAAATGGTAGTATGCTAGAGAGGGAAGTGAACAGAATTTATTTACATACCATAGATTCTTCATAGTACATGTCAGGTATGTGGAACATACATAATACAAATACAATAACAAATATAGTTGTTACATTTATTTACATAAAGCCTGTTGATGCATAATCTTTAGTACCAGGGCTTACATAAGCCATGTAAACACCTTTAAAAATGTCAGCATCATCATCCTAATTTACTTTTCCCTATCCAAGTAATTGATTCTGACATTCAGATCCAGAGCACACAACTTGCTGTTAAAAACTCAAATCTTAAATTAGTGCACTTGTGAGATAATGTATAGTAGGTTTTAAAGGTGACTCATTTTATACACATGGGTTTTATGATTCACAGGATTAAAAAAAAGGTGGATGTGAAAAATGCCCTACAGAATGTCTCAGATGAAGAAGTGCGAGACTTTGCTATTGGAACATGTAGATGCAGTGGTAAACTTATTGAATGGTTTTATGTTAAAAGACATCTCATCCCAGCGTGTACTTCAGCGATTGGACTATCTGTATAATAAGCTTAATGAATTACTTATTCCAAAATTACGTGCTAACCATGGACCAACAAATTCAGATCCATGGCAACAAGCAGGAAGGAATGTAGCAGCTACAAAGGATAAAGAATTTGAGTCACCTGTACCAAGCATGAGGGCTGTGAAAGATGTGGAATATGTGTGTGGACTGTGCAAAAGTCCTATAACCATATACAATTCAGATCACAAACTGTCAATGGATTTACATTATCAAGATGACATACATCAGAAAGCAGTTGAAGTCCAGAAAATGCGAGGGGTACGGGGAGTGATTCAAAAACCTGCAGAACTTCAGCAAATAAATAAGGCACAAGCATCAATTCTAAAAATTAGAAAGTCCACAGGACAGAAAATGAAAGGGTCACAGACAGCAATTCAGAAAACTGATAAGCACATAGACCAACTTCAGGAAACAGATATTCCGAAAATTGGCAAGTGTACAGAAGAACTTCTGAAAATTAGAAAGTCCACAGGACAGAAAATGAAAGGGTCACAGACAGCAATTCAGAAAACTGATAAGCACATAGACCAACTTCAGGAAACAGATATTCCGAAAATTGGCAAGTGTACAGAAGAACTTCTGAAAATTAGAAAGTCCAAAGGACAACTTCAGAAAATGACAGCAATTCAGAAAACTAGCATGCCCACAGAAATAAATTGCAAATATATTTCCCAGACTGCTGGAAAGTACCATTGCTGCCTCTGCAATATGAACATGCATAGTCAAAAATGTGTGCAGCAACATGTGGTAGGAACCACACACCAACGAAAAATGGCAGCTTTGCAAATGGATCACAGCGAGGATGCATATGGATCATCAGAGCAGTCTGTGCCATTGCAAGAAGACAAGTTCTGGTCAAAGATTCCTGAAGGGTGGAGAAATCATATGAAGCACTTTGTGGACAGTGGAGCCACCACTCTGCATTGCAGTGCATGCAGTGTTATTGTTCCCAAAACTACGATCAACGTGCTGAGCCACATTCGTGGCAAGAAGCACTGCCACATCTCATCAGACGGAATGTGAGGGTCACTCACCATTCTCCAGAAAGATCATGAATGAGATGGTTTGAACACTTAGTGTAACCTCTGAATGGGTGTTATGGGCCTATACCTTGTAAGGAAGAAGAAAAACAGGCAGAAAGAAATGTCTCTGCAGTATTCCTGACATTTGATAAAATTCTGTTATGTCGCTTGTTAGTTTTATGCATATGTCTACCTTTCGTTCTCACTGTCTTCATACCAAAGCAACAAACTGTGCCCTTTTATGTGGACACAAAGGCCAAACAATCAACACTTTTCATTTGATTAAATTTAATCTTTATAATGTAGTCAAGTAACACATGTTCATATAGGGACCTTGATGAGCAGTGGATAATATCTAATAAAAGTGGAACTGTCAATTCAAAGTAGGATTTGAGGTTTCCATAGTGGTGAGTCTGAAGATGGCTGTCTTCTGGGTTGTAGCACTCATCACTCATCGCCCTGATGATGTAGGCAGCAAGGATGTCTGAAATGTCAGTAAACTTCTACCACATTATATGGTGCAACAATCCAGAAGGTAGCCATCTTCATCACAGCATTACTTTTATTTACAAGAACTGAAATATTCATAATTAGGCCTCAACAGTCATCTGGTCTGACTTTCACTTTGCAACAAAACTATCGACACCAGATACAGATATGTTATTTGCTGCTCAAGGTAGTTGCATACCTGAAAAAGAGAAGGCATCAACAGTTACAGCTTTTTGCTCCCCATCAGCGATTTCTACAGTATCCACACTGTGCCCTACAGTCAACAAAGTATCATACTGCATACATATCACAGTGTTCCTGTTCACTCCTTAGCATCACCAATTCCATCAGCGTTGATGGCAAACATGGCTTCTGACTCTGGCAGGCAAGGCGAGTCATAGATTTTACAAATGCGTGTTTCACCTCTTCCCTTCCTCAAGTACAGCCTGCAAACACAGTTCAGGAGTTAATGACTGAATAGCAGACCATTTCCCTGAGTGACAAACTCCCTGGTAACATAACTAGAAACTTCAAAACCACCAAGTTGTGTAGAGCACATTCATCTCTCTTGCATCCAAATGTGTTCCTGAGTGTTTTTTTCAGACACTTGTAATAGATGCTCTTCAGAAACTGCATTTCACTCGTAACATTACCTGGCAAAATTAGTGCCCCTTGATTTAAAGTATTTTGCAAAGCAGATGACAATTAAAAGACAAGAACAAGAATTAAAAAATTCATTCTTCTCATAATTTAATTATAACCCTCATTTCTGTTTGTTGTTGGTGTTTCCAAGTCATTTATTACTTACTAGCCCGACGTTGTGTAAAAAGGTATACTAAAATAATTACATTCCTTATTTCTTATGGCAGTCTAATGAATATATATTGTCACTAACCAAAGAGACCATAAACTGTACTGAAATGACAATGCTTATTTACTACTGTCCTATTATATATGTTGTGTATGATGCATCCAATGCAAAGAATCAAACTTCCAGAAATTTTTGTATTTTGACGATGGTGAAACTGAACCCTGGGCACTTGAATAGACAAAAAATTGATGGAATTCTGTACCTTCGTGAGATCTACCTGAAGGGATAAAATTTGGTGTCATGAGTTGAAAACTGTCAATGTTATAAAAATGTTGTTTTCTTTTCTATACTAGTAAATTGTGTATTTCTCATAATTACTAGCTGTGAAGAAGTGAGATTTAGAGCTTCAGACCTACTACATTTCATTCACTGTAAGTTTTTTTATGTATTTATGGAATGAAAATTGGTCACAGGTAAAAAAATGGCATAATTAACACCACAGAGCAAAGTCAAGAAAGCTCCTTGCCCATTATGAAACGCAAGTGTTCATTACTGTTTTCACAAAAGCCCACCACCAGTCCTTACCATAAGTCACATTTAATCTAATCTACAACCTGAAACCTGACTTCCATAAAATCCATTTAATATTATCCTTCCATCTACATGTTTTGAGTGTTATTTCAGGCTTTGTGATCAAAATGCTGGATGCATTTTTAATCTCCTCCATGTGCACTACATGCCCCACCCATCTCATCCACATTCATTTATTATCTTGGTGGAAAGTAAAATTGTGGAGCTCCTCATTATGCAGTTTTGTCTGGCAGACCAGTTTTCACATCCATACAAAACAACAACTAAAATTAAAGTTTTGTATATTGTTATTTTAATCTCTACATTTTTAAGTAGCAGACGGGAAGACAAAAGACTGGACTTCCTACCTTGTGGTTGAAGCATGGGCTATAATGTTACCCCCAATAGGCTTCTTGGGGTCTGCAGCAAACAGAGCAGCACCATCAACTTGTGCTACAACCTGGTTTGTGATCACTACAGCCACTCCAAACTGAAAATTATAATCAAAATAACAAAAGAAAGTTGAAGGATCAACACTACCATAAGTGGGTCGTTCCTGGATACATAAACTTAGCTCATGTGGCCCCAAACTGTATTTCACACTAACCTATCAGTTCAATCCACTCTACCCTCACAATTTATTTTCCTATGACCCACTGTAATATTATTGTCCCATCTCATTCTGTATGCATCTCTCTCAGAGATACATGTCCTAGATGTAACCACTGTAACAATGAAAGGAGAAGTATTTTAGTCATGAAGTTATTTCTTATGTATTTTTCTCCATTGTATACTCAATCCATATCTACTGCTTCAAATGTTTTCCTCTCTATGTTGTTTTAAAAAAAATTGTAATTGATGGGCTTTGGCCAGCAAGTCAAAACAATAGGAAAATGTTTTGTGTCTTAATCTGTCGAGTTTTGAAAGTAAGCTACATGATAATATTTATCTTCTGGGTGGTTGTGGGTGCATAATCCTACATGTTCAACAGTTCTCAAAGAATTTCCAGAGTTAATTCTTCTCTTTAATAACATCATGGACCTCACTTTTGCAATTAAATCCTCTCAGGCAATCAGACACATGGGCTTCAAACCATGTACAGATCTTACTTTCATTTGTTTGTGTTGTTCACAGGAATTAAAACAATGAAACACAAAGAATTTATTTACTCTTCACCTCATCTGCTAGTCGCAACAACATGCGAAGGAAACGTGCCAAGTGCATTTGTCTGGCAGACAACTCTCCACGCCCAGAGAAATCAGTCCTGTAAAGGCTCGTTGCACTGTCCACTATCAGCAGGGCATACCTGTGACAGAAACAAGAATTACCACTGCACAGCTAAAGATCTGTTTCAGACCACAGCTTCAAGTTGTGACACTCACCTCGACTCCGCCATCATAGCAGATGCCTGTATAAGAAGCTGTGTCTGATGGTCTGTGTTGTATGCCCTTGCATAAGCCACATTGTCAAGCACATCGTTCCCTGACAGTTTGTAGCGATCTGCAACTGCAAGAAGTCGCTCAGGCCGGAATGTTCCTTCCGAGTCAATATAGAGGCTTTTCCCCTCGCCACCATTCTGGTCTATAGGGAGCTGTTGAAAGTGAGGTTATTGCTGAGTGGATGTTTCTAGAACTCATGACTACCACAAACTAACTAGGCTTTGGAGTCATGATGCCTTGTATGATAATCCACCACTGACCACAGATTTCAAGTACCTGTCATTTTACAATGTGTGTCACATTTTGCCAACCAAGGTATTTGTTTTTTTTTGTAATCACAGGTTTTAATTTGTGTGCTCAGAGATGCACAGTTGCTGGGGGCAGAGCTGTAATAGCATTCAAAACCAGTCTTCTAGCTTCCAAATAATCACTGTAATTTTAGAATTATATTAGAGGCAACTTAAGCTTAGTTGATTGTCAGTTGCAGCCATGATTCCCTTAAATCCCAATTTTTCATATGACCCTGATCTTGGTAAACATGAGATTTTTAGGAACATAAACCCTGGCAGTTGATGAAGGGGACACTTCCTGGATAGAATTCTTGGATAGTAAATTCTTCTTACATTCCATCACAGGCACCTCAGAAAAGAAGACCACAGTTGACAGACCTGATAAGCGAACACCTGTCTCTGTCTACATGTCAACTGCTTGACAGGAGGAGCTACATATTTTGATATTACCACAAGAATAAGAAAACATAAAACACGTCCACTGGATGGAAAACTCCAAAACAGAATCTTAAGAAACTTGCACATGGAGCTAGAAAAGGAAATGGTCTAATGAGATGAGAATGAAAGCAACATGCTGGGGATATTATCCTTCTGCCTAAGTGCCATACCCTTAGGGCATGTGGGTGGCATAGAGGTAAGCTCCAGTTACTTAAATAAAAGGAGGCTGGATGCATATCAGGTCCAAAGTTTGTTCTTGCCTGACCTACAAACCTCTGCAGTGATGAATTATACTTCTCTGTATATTGTTAAATATGCAATAAACAACAAAACTATTACTAAAGTATGAGTAGGAGCTCCCCCCCCCCCAAAAAAAAAAAAATGCCTACATGGCGTATAGTGGGACAGCTTTACTGTTGATGTACTTATTTTTGTACAATGAACTGTAATGTTATGTTGGACAATAAGCCTGAGAAGTTTCAGTGCAGACCCCAACAGTACATTGACGGACTGTCTCACCTGACAAGTCACCGCGAGTGTGTGGCAGAGCTGTGTTTTTCCTGTGCGGAACTCTCCAAATATTTCTGTGATGGACCCTGTTTCAATGCCTCCCCCCAGCAATCGATCCAATTCTCTGGAGCCTGTCGTTAGCTGTATTATCTCGGAACGTTTCTGGTGGAACTCTGTGGCAGTTGTGAAGCCCATTGGAACTAGTTTTGAAGCCTCAGCCTGGAAGTTACAACAGACAAAACTGTATTTGGATCATTAGTGATTAAGTGCACCATACAACCATCCTCAATAAACAAAAATTCATGAATTACCACTCATCAATTTTCCTCACAAAGAAGCAGTTTATACAACGTTGTTATATAGCCAACCAACTGTCATATCAAAATTATATTTTCCAATCTGTCTGCTGAAACTGCTTCCATACTGCCCTATTTGAGGGAAGGCTTAAAATATTCCTCTGCCACGCTTAGTACTGATGAAAGACGAAGGAGTGGAATGAGATTATTTCTGAGGAACAGTTTAACGCAAGCCAGAATATATCAGCTGTGGTTCAATGATCAGAACAGAGGAAATTAGACTGTGTCACAAATGGCAATTATCTAAAACAATGATATACTTATGTGGCTTAAACTCTATTTGTTTGACCATTAATAAAGTAAAATAAATAAATAAAAATTTGTCTGAATGATTGTGAGATGTAATCTTACCTACTGGCAATAAATAAAGAAGGAAACAGTATGATACTCCATGCACTTGGTCAAAAATACAACAGCATAAGCTGTAATTCAAATAAATGTGCGAGCATACAAAACATTTTAATAAAGGAGAAGAAAGCATGAGAACTGGGGCAAAAATAAAAACAACCCCAGGACAAAGTCTACACATCAGAACTGACCCTATGAATGCAGGACCTTTGGAACCCCTATTCTAATGCACTCAGGAGTACTCTGGGAACAAATGACCTAGTGGCCTGGAGTCAGGCAGATACAAAAACTCCAGTTGTACAGTATCTTAATGAACAAAAAAACTACAAATTTTTTGATCACCAGGAATACACATAATGTGCATGAAGTCAATGATTGTGGAGGGTAGTCATGATTCCTGCACCAACGATGATTAAAGTGACCGAGAAAATTACTGCAGCGATATGATTGGAATGTCAGACTCATAGTGAACACCACCATTCATTGCATGTGACCAGCAATATGTACTGAAAA